TATACTTATTTTTAGTCTTCTATTTTAATAAATTTATAAGTTTTAATCTCTCACTTTATACTATAACACTTTCAATCTTTCACTTATATAAATTGAAAAAAAAACCCTTATTTAATGTCTTGTTAACTTATTGTTAATTTTGTTAATTGACTGTTAACTCTTTTAGTTGATTATTAGTATTCCATTATAAAAAATATAAAATTTAAATTTAATTTTATTTGTTAGTTCCGTTAATAGAATACTAACAGTCAACTAATAGAACTAACAGTCAACTAGTAGAATTAACAATCAGCTAACAGAATTAACAATCAGCTAACAGAATTAACAAAACGTTATAATGTAATATTAAGTAAGAATTATTTTTTTTAATTTGTATAAGTGAATGGTCAAAAATACCATAATATAAAATGAAAAACTAAAACCTATAAAGTTATTAAGATAAAGAGGGAAAAGTAGGTTTTTGCCCATCAAACACTGCATAGGGGGGAGCTGCATACCATGCCGAGCCGGCATGGACTATAGTTAGGCACACATCAATTCCTAGTTTTCTACTTCGACAATTTCCAATGTTGGACCAATATGTTTTGTATGCATGAAATATTAAGGAAAAATGAGAACTTGCCTGAATCTCAACCAGAACGGTGGAGTAAGCATAAGCAAAGGCAATATCCCCAATAGCTTGGAACGTTCTCCACACCTTTTCTGTCGGTGACACGTCCACTCCCACTGTTACTCCAGTTAACGCTGTCCTCACTTGATTTCCCCCACCTTATAAAAGAATTTTAGGTTTAGTGATAATTGATGAACTTTTAGTTTGGTTCATAAAAGAATTAGCAAATTTAATTACTTTATTTGTTCACTCTGATTAGATTGAAATGTTAAATTTAGTCTTATACATGTAAACTGAACTTCTAGTGCTTTATTTGTACCTGCAACTTTGGCTATGGAGAGGCCGAGTCCAATAGAAGAATAAGAGAAGGACATGATGGCGGCGAGGATAGACAGCCATGAGAGCTTGTGGAAGTTGGGGATTTGGCTAAGAAGGATTTGAATACAAGCAAAGATGATCATGAAAGGGTTGTTGGAGGTGTGACACTTGACATTATGACCGTGACGGTGGAAGCAGTTTGAACGTTTAACCGCTCTGCAGAAAAAAATTTATTATAAGGAATCACTTTCGGTGTTAATTTAGTCAAAAGAAACGGAACTTTTTCGTAAGTTTCATAGTTTTTAGTGTCTGGGTTGTTGACCGCTTACACCATACTAATTGATGCTGTTATGGTGTAACCTATGGTTATGCCCACTAGGTTCGAGTATTGAGCCAATCCACACAGTTGCACTCTCCTTCCTCCTATGGCACAAAAAATTAGAACCACTTAAAATTGTTGTAAGAAAGCTGTATTCAGTAACTTTAATTCCTTGATTTTGGCTGAGGACGTACCTAAATGAGCCCTGACAGTGTCCATATAGGTATAGTTTCTTCTTCCGGTGACCGGATCGGGAGCCCTGTAGCTGTCAGCCAGAAGGGTGGAGGTGAAGTAGGTGATGAAGGAAAAAGCCATAAGAACGGCGAAGCCAGCAATCCAACCTAGCTGAGCCATGGCCCATGCCAAAGACAGCACGCCGGACCCAATCACGGCGGTGATGATGTGAGCACTTGCCGTTACCCAAGTCCCTTTTGACAATCAAAAACAAACTCAATAACATCACAACAAAATACTAATATCACGTAGCAGTGATGGCATTTGGTTAGGATTTCAAACATCTACAATGGCTACGCGAACGAAATGTATAGTACCAGTTCTTTTGGGACGACCATCATCGTCAAGGTTCTTTCGGACACCACCATTACTGAAAGCTTCAGGATCTTGGTCCACGTATATGGAGCCTCTGTGTAACTCTGCAGCCATGGTTTGTGCTTGCTCAAGAAGAAAATGGGGAGTTAAGAAATGGGGATTAAAGAGTGAGGAGAAAACTTAGGGGAAGGAGAGTAATAAAGAGGCAAAAAGGTAAGAGCACCAGGGTCGTCAAAGGGCAATATGTTACGTTATGAGCTGATGGCATAACTAGGATCGGGTGGGTAGGGCAGAGAAGAAATCTGGACCCTTTAATATTATATGAGGATGGAGGAGATATTTCTAAACCTATAAAAATCAAAATTATTTTGAAAAAAAATTTTCTTTGCACTTTCGATGGTGCTTCTTCTTCCCAGTCTTGAAGGTCCCCACTTTTGGTTTTTGATGTCCATCCAATGCTGGAACGGAGGAACCTAGACACAACAACCGTCCATTGTGATTCTATGTTGACTATGCCACTTTTATTATAGGTGATGATTAGGGGTTTCTCGGTATTGCCAGAAACAGCATTTTAATCTCCAAGATAAACTTGTAATTTCCCTGTTTGGAAATGGAAATTGGTGACAAGCATCAGATGCAAGCACTCATATATATTTTGGCTTTTTTAAGTGGGTGTTGTTATTTCCATGGATTCTGGGGGGGAAAGTAATATATTGAACTTATGCATTTCTCTCTTTTTCATGACATTTTGGATCCAATAAAAAAATAGGTATAGATGCATTAATTGCTTAATGTGGAGATTATTGGGGTTTTGGCCAAGCTTGGATGACAACCGGGGAAGGTGGCTTTGATTGTGGTGGTGGTGGTGGACCGGGGCGGTGGAGGTGGGTCATTATGTGTACTATTGACTTTGGTTTTAAATTTCAATGATGGATGATAATGGCACATATATATGTAAGTATGCCCCGATCTTACATCCTCATACAATAACATCCCTGACTTGTAGCCATAAACATTGTTAATTAATCGTCCCTGCTTCAAACATCTCTCCCCAACTCAGACAGAGTGATTTAAGACAGGGGATGCCATAGAACGGACATCCCCATTAAGGGAACAAGACAGGACTTATATACTTAAGTAGTGTCCATGCATCTGTAAGATGCTAATTACATTGCCGCTATAAATTATGATTATCTCCGAAGTTGGCAATATCTATATTTATATTGCAGAGATCTGAAGGAGAAAGATGGGTGTGCCAAACCCATTAGAAAGTCACCGCATGTGGCTGTTTTTTTGTTGAACCAAGAATTGTAATCTGCGTATCATCAAGTTGAGAATCAAGCAGAAAACCATAAGTGACCTCTATATATTCATTGCCAGGGTTGACCTACCTGTATTATTCCGTACTTAACTAATATATATCCCAACCTTATAGAAGGGTTTGACTATTAATGGGTCAATACCATCTGATTTGTTAGGAATATGAACTGAAACTTAATTTAGATGTAAATCCTGAAAATTTGTTAGGTAATATGTTTTTTAATCACCAATAATTTGGTGGTTTGAATGAAAGGAGTTTGGTTTTTTTTTTTTTAAATAAAATTTTGATTTTGAATCTTATGAAAAAAGAAATAAATATTATGAAAATTTTCTCCTAAAGGATCCAACTCAACTCAAATTTAAATTAATTAAAATTTAATATGATTATCAAATATAAAGATATTAATATAAAATATATATTTATATATATTTTTTTTAACAAATTAAATCTCAAAAGTAGATCGGCTCGCTCCGATTTAGTAGTATTGAACTATGAATTAGGGTTATTCACATCTAATAGATTACATGTTTAAGTCTCACGAAATCCCTTAACTCCACGGAATCCCTTTTCCCCCTCCCTCAATTAACCCGATAAATAATTATAAATTGTTAAAAAAAAAAAATCTCAAAAGTAAAAGTAGGCACCCTACCACTTTTTCACCTTTTATTTGTGAAATTTCTTACTTTTTACTTGATTTGTGACAGAGCGATACTTGTCTTTTCATTTACCGTTTGTTGTGCGCAACCAGCTTGTCGTGATTGATGTGCCGCCTGCATCATCTTTATTTAGTCAGCCGAATGGTGAAAGATTTCTTTTGCAAACCTTGATCTCAAGAAAAGAAAATGTTTAACTAATCTTTAAACTTAATGGTTCGATTTCAAATCTTAAGTGTTTGGTGAGGTGATTAAAGTTTTAAACTTTATTATTATTGTGAATTTCACCAAAAAGTGATTTGATAACCGTGCGTCTCATTTGAAGGAGTGAAATGTTTACCCGGTCTAACAACCAGTTGCTAACATTTAATTCATACTAACTTTCTAACAATTACTTTTATTAAACAAAAAAAAAAGAAAAAAAAAATACTACTAACTTTGTCACAGCCCAAACTTTAAAACGGATTAAAAGTCATACATTTATAAACAGGATTTATGAGTGTACAAAGTTTAGAATTAAGTTATTTTGTTATATAAAATTATAATTAATAATTAAGAGTCATCGAAAAAATTAAAATTAATAATTAAGGTTTGAAAGATACTTAAAATTTTTTTTGATACATTTAATTATAGACTATACAAAAAAAGATATTCATCTCTTATTTTCAAATCTCTCTTTACGCTCGAACTTAGATTTTTAATTTAAAATTTAAAATTATTAACAATTAGCCACTCTATTGGGGTTGAAGATACCTTAAATATTATTAAAAGTTAAATAACATCTAAATAACTTTTAGGGTAAATTATGCAATAATTGTCAATTCCTTTAACTTTCTAATACTTACAAATAAATCCAAAAATTAAATCAAGTCTTAACTGTCCAAACTAAATTTAATAAGAATTCGTCACATGCCCTAATCTCCAACGTACATGCCTTAATCTCCAACGTTCTCCAACGTTTCTAACATTGTTACCTAAAATGGTGGATAAAGAAAAAAAGTGAAATATAATTCCATTAAGTGAATATTTGGTTCCTCTTTTAATTTATTCTTAATTAAGCATATCAACTAGTGTAAATTAAATATAAGGTGAATAGGAACAACTATGGGTAATGAAATAGATGTCTATTTTATAAGTCTTCACTAATGTTTATAAACCTCCCATTGATAGGTAGCAAGGTTGCTAGCTAGCAAGGTTGCTAGCGTATAATCCCACTAGTTAGATAATAACTATGACAAGAATGAGAGGTTTTACAAATAATATGTTGATATGTGCAACATTTAAGAATCTCCCCCTCAGCAACAAGTATAAACATGACTATCAGAGATTAAAATAGGTTAACAAGTATATCTCAAGTAAATATACTTCTTTCAAAAAAATAGGTATCTTAGGAATCAAGTAGTATGCATTAAAAACTTTTTACAAATAAACATGCTTAAACATATAAAACCTATCTTAAATTAAGACAAGATTTAATCATAGAAATTAAACAAAAATAGGTTTTTAATTTTGCTACCATCTCAAAATCAATAGAAATTATGTTTTAAAATTAATTTTAAAATTAGGAGCATAACAATAAATTTACTTATCTCAAATAAAAGAGCAAATAATTACAAAGTTGCAATGGCCAAATGATCAAAAACCTACAACATCGAGTCACAATACGTTACAACTCTAATAAATTATAAACTTTTACATTTACCCTTAACCTCCAATTAAATCTAATTATTTTTATTTAATTCTGTTAACAATGTTGACAACTGTTTGTAAATAGAGTGAGAGGTGTTGACACTAGTGGCTAACTCCCGAATCAGCGGAACGGTGGTGTTGCCGCCACGCAACTCCACACAGCAGCATCTTCTCATCATTCTCTATCTTATGCTTTCTTTTACAGGGAAAAGGGAATATCATAATGTTTTAACATTAAAATATTTAGATATCTAATAATAGTTACATGATATATATGGTATAATGTGAATTTTGATTTTATTAAATTTAACATATAATTATTATTGAATGTCTTAACACTTTTAATGTCATAATATCTTAATTTTTTCTTTTTCATTATATATATTATAAGAAAAGTATATATCACTTTCAATTTTCAAAATAAATTAAAATTTTAATTTTAAATTACATTGATTTATTTAATTAAAATTTAATTTAAAATTAAAAAATTTATTTTATTAAATATTAATATTTAGATTTGAAAACTGATTATATTAAAATATATAATTAGTTTTCAGATTTAGGTATTAACATTTAATATAATGAATTTTTAAATTTTAAATTAAAATTTTAATTTTTAAATATAAATTAACTTTATTTATTTATTTATTTTTTTTAAGAATTGAGAGATCTATTGTATTCCTTTTTGGATGCAATGGAAGTCATACTCAAAATTGCCTTACTGGCTTCAACTGTTACCTTTTATTTATTATAATATTGTAAGAAGCCAACTGACGCGGTGCTGCGAATAGCACCCATGTCTTAACAAATAGACCCTTTTTCTATCCTTAATTCAATAACTTTTGGATTAAAACATGAAAATTCACTGAAATTTAAGATTTTGATGCAACATTTGAGGGAAGCCTTGATAGCAAAAGGAACAAAATATTTAGAGATTTTAAGATTGGACTTTAGTGTTATAACTCATGGGAATAAATAAGAAACAAAAAATTATGAAAATTGAATGATGGTTACCTTTGGAATCTCAATATTGAATAACAAGAGAGGAAGGCGGCTGAATCTGGTAACGTGTAAAAACAAATCTACTTTGTAAAAAAGAAAGAGGATTGAGCGACAGCTTTTATCTTTATATATATATATATATATATATATAAAGAAATTAGTGCCTGTTCGTTTTATTTTTAAAAAATTAAGAAAAAAATAATCACTTTAATACATGTTTTAAAAATAAGATAATTTAAATTTTTTTAATAAAAAATTATTAAAATTTTAAAATAATTTTTTTCTTAATTTTTTAAAGATAAGGTTAATAAGAATTTTTTCCATATATATATATGACAAATAATAACCCTAAATAAAGAGATTTTTTTTAAAAAATTTTTGTTATAGAGACAACCATCACTTGTTTTTTTATTTAAATCCGTTCACATGTTATGCAAATTAAATTTAATATTTTTTTATTTTTTAATAAAAAAATAATCATTAAATTATATAGATCGTTGATCTAAATAAAAAAATATTAATTACTATTTAACACAATTTAATTTTTATATTAATTTGATTTTATTAAATTAAATTTTAAATAAATTATAATTTCTTAAATAAAAATGATATCCACTTATAATTATATTTTAATCCACTTAACTACAATAATTACAAAAAATTCAAAAGTGACTTAAGTTATTATAAACTTTTTTTAATATAATATTAATATTTTACAACACAACACTTATTACAAGTTGATCTAATTTTTGAGGTTATTAATCTAACGAACCCATAGACTCGACTCCCTCGCGGTACTTTTTTTTATTTCAGAATCAAACACATTTCAACTTAAAATAATAATAGTAATAATAATAATAATAATAATAATAACATACTAGTTGCATTTGTTTTGTGCGCCTCCACCTAACTCTAGACAAGAAATATAAGATTATATGTATTTGATTTAATGGAAAACATTATTGCAGAACCCCAAGTCCTACACTGTTCGAATTTAATTCAATTTTGCCAGCTCTTTAGTCCTCTCCACTGGGAGTGAGTGATTAATCCACTTGTCAACAGCACATGACGACAATTTTTCCAAATTATGAAGAAATCTCCCCCCCACCCCACAAAAAATAAAACTATTATTCAATTAAATATAATAATCTTCTTAATATAGCTAATTTAAAGCATGTTATACAGTAAGAGCCAAATGAAAAAGTTTCTAATATAGTGAATGAATCCCTAATAGTAAAAATCTTGTAATAATAATAGTAATATGAATAAAATAAAAGATAAGTGAGAGAGATGGAAAGACACAATGATACATGGTTCAAGATAATGTCAAAATATCGTGATGCATCAAAACCACATAATCCAAGGATAAAAGCCTTTGTGATTTTTGTATGTTTATTTTTCTTCCATTTTTTTCTTACATATGACCAACTCTATTTATAGAATGAGGGATATACAATATAAAGAAATAACAATTAACTGAAATTCTTCTATTAATGAGATTATAATCAATATCAAATCTTTAAAATTAATCAATTGATTAATTGATTTCTCTTTTGTTGATTAATTTTCATAATGGCATGATATTATTTCATTCTACAACTAGATCAATCATTGTATGATTTGATCCTCTTCTTTCTTTCTTTCTTTTATGATAAGATCAATTATTTTATGATTTGATCTTCTTTACTTTCCCTTAAGTTGGAGTACAGAGAAGTTAATCGATTATTCAACTTATTTGTAAATCTCCTTCAAAGTTGGTGTTGCCCATTCTCCAAAATTTGCAATTGCTTTGGGGCTTGCAAATAGAACTCTAAAAGATAGCCAATGATCTCCCAGTGATAACATAGTAATAATATGAACAAAATAAAAAATAAGTGAAAGGGAGGGGAAACACGATATTACATGGTGCAAGTATGTTATGATGCATCAAAGCCCACTTTGCAAGTTTTTTTTATTTTTATTTTTTTCTATTCTTTTCTTTGATACAAGTAACTTTATTTATAGGGTGAGGAATATATAATATAAGGAAGTAACAATTAATTGAAAATCTTTTATTAATGAGATTATAATTAATATCAAATCTTTAAAATCAATCAATTGATTAATTGATTTTTTCTTGGTTGAACAATCTTCATAATGACATGATATTACTTGCTTCTATAATCAAATCAATCATTAAATGATTTAATCTTCTTCTTTCTTCATTTTATGATAGGATCAATTATTTTATGATTTGATCCTCAAGAGCAAGAGCTAGCATATCTTATTCTTATCAAGAACACAAAGCTTTTTTTATTTTTTTTCTTTTTGTTAAAAAAAAGACAGAAAAAACAAAAAGGGATGATGTCGTTTTCTGAGGTTGAAGTGTGAACTGAAATTGATACCTGCCCAAGTTGGCTTGTGAATGTAACATTTGAGGTCACGAGTTTATGTTCCTTTGCCCCCTAATCCCCTAGTGCCTTCTTTTTTCATTGGGTCCATAGCTTTGCCCTATTGCCTCGTGTCCACTGTTTCTTATTTCCTAAAATCTCCCATTACTCTTTATTCAAAAGAATTTTAGGACAACCCTGGTTCTACATATCTGCATTTCTTGTGGCCAAATTAATGTACATATCTACTTTATGTCAAGTTGTTAACCCTAAAGACCTACCTAAAGTCAGCTGCTAGCTGTTTATCTTGTTTAGTTGCCGCGGCTAATCCAAGCTTTTGCTCCAGATTTTTACTCTCGTATAAATTTGCAAGTTTGTTTGTTTGTGTTGTTTTTTAAAGTGTAACAGTTAAGTTGTAAGTATAATATGATAGAACCGACTCACATTAAATTTAATCTAGATTCTATACTACTATTTATTAATTAATTTAATAAAATTTGCAATTTCAGTAAGTAATGGGCAAGTGACAACGTCGTCTGAGCACTCTTGAATGGATATCCAGGTGGAGGGAGTGAAAAATGCCAGTAAAG